TGTTTGTCAAAGTGTGGAGATAAAAGATACAGCCGCTTAGAAAAAGATACGACAGCGGCATTAACAGACGCTGTCAGCAGATTTGTTTAGCCTTAGAAAAGGCGATAAATGAGACCAAATGGACAAACAAAACAATCTTCTTACAAATGGGCATCCGTACTGCTGCTGTTTCTGTGTGTTACTTTCGACTGACGTATGGCTGTAAATAGGTATCTAAAGTTGTGGCAAATTTCATATCAATGCGAATAATGGCAGGCAGGCAATTGTGTGCTTACTAACTATTGCTAAATACTTATGTTTGTGTGTATTGATGCACTCACTCGATGTGCGCTTATCAGCGACAAGAAAACACCAACAATAATAAAGCAACTGAGCAGCCAGTGAAGACAGTCATAATAAAAACTATTTACTGATAACAAAGTAAATACACACAAGCACACACACACACACACTTAAACTAAAATGCTCACAGATACTAACGGACCATGTGAGAGCGGCTGAGCAAACACTTGCAAACAGTCAAACAGTTTGTAGAAAAAGTATATAAAAGATATACCAACAACAGCAGCAATGCTCTCTCTCTCTCACTCACTTGCTCTCTCTCCTCCATACACTCTCTATTGCTCTCTCTACTGCTCTTGCCGCTCGGTAAACGCTTGAAATTCGTAGATACTTTAGTGTGCATGTGTGTGAGTGCGAGTGTGTATATATATATATATGTGCGTGTGTGTGTGTGACGTTCGTTTGAAATTCATTTCGTTTTTAATTGTTTTCAGTTTTTGAATTTAGTTGTATTTGATTTTCACGTACTCGCACAGCTCCGAGCTCGCTTGCTGAGAACTTTTTACTTATGCGGACATAAAGTATTTTCAAGTGTGCTTTGCAGCTAAATTCGAAAAAAAGACAACCTATAAAAAAGTAACCAAAAAATACATTGATGTGAGTGCGCCAAGTGTTTTTTTGGGCAATTTTTGACGCTAACAATTTGTTAAATGAGCTCCAAGTGGCGGCCCGCAGTTGAAGTGTGGAGCGGTTCATGCGATTGCGGCGCCGCAATCTACACAAAAAGCATAAAGTGTTAAAGAAACTCTTATCAGGCTGCAAGCAAGCCATTCAATTAAGCAACAGCTTGAGCCAAATCATTTTATTGATAGGGTGACTGGGGTGGGGGCATAGAAATCCACTGAATGTGCAACTCAGTAACTTCACTTGATTTGTGGGATTTGCTTTTGCTTAATTTTTTTTCTCACATTTATAAAATTTCTGTGGCCATTTTGGGCTCTCGTTTCTGGTATTTTGTTGGCTGGCTGTTGTTTTTTGTCCGTCTGCTACTTCGCCTTATCAGCGAATACATAAGTAAAAATAAAAAAAGCAATGCTTATATATAAAAATAATATGAAAACCTTATCGCCTTCGCCTCCGCTGTTCTGATAAGTTCTGCGACTTCGAGATAAGATTGAATTTGTTTTATGTGCCTGGGGGATGTGTGTTATAGGCGAGCACATTTTGTACATACAAGTTGAAATTTGGTCAAGAATATATATATATATATATAGATAAATACTTATATTCTATATTCTATATATATTCATTTTGCTAGCTTTGCACAGAGGGTTCAGTTTGCTTGCAGCTTAGTGGTGACAGCTTTTCAGTTGAAAACAAACTTCAACCTATTCAAAGCTTAAGCTTATGAGCGTCAACCGAGATATATTAAAATCAAGTTTTTGTTGCTATTGAAAAATAATTGCTTTTTATTCGTTAGGTGCTTTAACTAGTTATATGTAAATGTAAATTCATATATAACGCTGTTTATTAATTGTCATGATTTGTCACCTTGACAAATAGTTTTGAAACATCCGTGACCTAACTTTAATAAATGCATTAAGCAACTGAAAGACACATTTGTTAAAGTATAGCGTCTGCATAAAACTTTGACAATGCCATTCAGCCGTTTGTTAAAAGCCTTACAAACGATTTTACAACATTCCCGATTTAGATTAGCCGAACAATAAACGTGTCATATTATCATAGATGTGATTCTCACTATTTTGTACCTTAAGTCAGCTATTAATCTTAAGATAATGCAATAATAATTGAAATAAAAGTTTTATGAATCTGCTTTGAATTTTTAACCGCACTCAAAAGTCCTCGCTCTGATTGAAAGAAATTTTTTATTATGCAAAGGCCCCAAAGCAGCAGCTGCATGGTATCCATCATCATTAACACATTTTCGGCTTGAGTGCATCAGTGACGTTGGGGACGGTAGCGACGACATCTTCGCCTTCCTCTAATCAAGCGTATGCCGAGACAGTCTTCTGCATTTTCCTGATCTAATTCATACATATAGAAATATATATATTCTGATATATTTCGGGGCAAACGAAAAGAGTTCATATTTTAATTTGTGCCATTTATTTTAGTAACAGTCTAAGAAAAAGCTGTAATTAGCCATGGCTTAAGTGAATCACAGAGGAAGAAGACTGGCTTTCGAATAAACAAAGATGTCCACAACTGCTTTATAGCTAATAATTGTAGCGTATCTAGTAGTCTAGGATTTTCGTCATATATATAAGCTTTTATTTTTGTTTTATTTATTTTTTAAAATTAAATTTCAAGGTCTCAACGCACACACCCTCACTAAAAAGTCGAGTGTTTTACGTTGCAATGGTAAGAGGGTTGCAGGGATTTCCCCTAAATGACAGTTGCGTTCACATTGCCAAGTTTTTCATTTGGTTTTCTGACTTTGTTTAAGAAAACGAATTTATAGCCATTGTGCATCACTTCGACAATTTCTAGCAAATCATTAATTTATTTGATTGAAATACTAAATAACTAATCGCGCAAAAGTAACAGGTTCTCGTTACTTGTCCCTCGCTCCTAGATTCTCAGAGCTGAAACCTTTCCTAAGCTAGGAACTTGTTTTGCGGCATCTGCTGCTTAAACAATATTTTTTCTCGTTGATTACTAATTTCTTGAGTGAATGCAAATTTGTTTTTGTTTTCTGCCATCATGACAGGTTCTATAAAATAAAGAGAAAAGACCAGAACAATGTACGGCTGTATATGCGAAAAGTATCTATAGAACGAATTTGGCTTTGTGTAGATTCTTTCGGCCTGCTTGCATACGAAATGCTCTTGTCTGTGCACCTCGTGTAGCTGTTATTGTGGCTACTGTGTTTGTGTTTGTTAGTGTTGTTGCTGTTTTGTAGCGTTGCCATCTCGTCGATTTATTGCTTATTTTGCTTTGCAGTTGCTGCTTAGCGGACAGAAATTTATTTAATGGTCAAGGTCGTTTGCAGTCAAATCAGATACACTTATATTTACGCACACACGCTCTCACAGACACACACATACCATCAAGCGCGTATAATGCGATGCCCGCACTCGCCCGTAGCAATAGCAGCAGCAACAACAACAACAACAACAATCACGATCAAAATATTTGTATAATTAAATGCCATTTTAAACAAATAAATGCGCGTCACTTTTTTTAGTGTTGTCGTTGTTGATATTGTTGTTGTTGTTGTTGTTGTTGTTGTTGTATTGTCTTGGCGCATATTTAATTACCAATGAAATCATAAAAACCAACTCATCCATAATTGAGTTGCAAGTTATAATTTTCATTGCCGCGTGCATCGAATTATAAATTGGGGGTTGCACAACTATTGAAAGATAGGTCTATGGTCTATAGGCCATGGCTGTCTTGGCCGCATTCATGACATTTTGAAATACTTGTACTAATATCGTTGTATGTAACGAAATCATGCACATGTGTCGACAATTCGAAAAACAACTGAATAATATTTTACAAATTATACGTGTAAATGAACATCAGAAATATAATACATATTATATTATATAGTATAGACTCGCCAAAATTTGTCAATCTCATTCAAATACACAAATCGGAAAATTTTACTTTATCTTTCTGCTAAATATATTGAATATCTACTTTGTTTTTCTCCTACATATGTTAGTGGGCTATTTGTAAAATTGGAAGCTGAATGGTCGCAAAAATATTTCTTTGAAGTTTAAGTGTAAAGAAGTCTATAGATAAACAAACTGATTATATACTTAATGTAGGCGTCTATCATATTGTACGAATATTTGTGTGTTATATGCAATTACTAATCAAATCTAACGTTGATTTCCGTTAAATCTGTACAATTAATAAAGCTAAATTATTTGTTTAATTAGATGGGGAATTTTAAATAAATTGCTGAAGTTGTATTCTTACATCTTATATGAACCACGATCCTCGATTCTTCAGAACCTTGTTTTTGTCTGCCAAATTTGTTAACTGTATCCATACAATAATCTGTTTACTGATGATATTTCTCAGACAGTTTGTTGTCAGTTTTCATAACTTACGCATTAGAATGAGTCATCTTGTTGTTGTCTGGTTTTTTTTTTTTCCACACAAAAAGAACACAAATATTAACATTTTCATGCTTATTACTAGCTAAATCTAATTGTTGTCTTGTTGCATCGATTACATTTGCCTGCGTGACCCCTTGCCCCTCCCGCCAACTGCCTGTTAATTGAATGCTCCGCTTTTAATTGCGCTCATTTTGTACAAAGACATAAATGAAAAGTGTTTTGTGTTAATCTAATTGTAAATGTTATTAAACGCGCCACTCTCAATTCTCAACACTTGACTCTCAGCTCTCGACTCTAGAATCACGTCTGTATTAAAATATTGATACGCACATAAATATAATATAATATACATTTTACATATGATGCCTAAATGTTTACTGTATGTATGTATATTTATTATTGCTGCATAATTCACTCATAAATATTTTTTTCTTTTTCTTTTTTCATATAAACGTTTACCAAAAACAACTCGCACATTCCACCACCTCAAAAAAAAAAAAAATAATAATAATAAAAATGTAATAATAATAATGAAATAAAAATAAAAATAATACACAATTGTCACGCAATAAATAAAAACCGCCATTAAATCAAACGCAATCAACAATAAACCAAATCTAGAAGGACTACACGATCATATACCTATAGTATATTTAGAGGCTTGACTAAACATTTGAAAACTTATAATTATAATTGTAAGTCGCCCGACCGCATATGCTACAGCTTATTAGCGTGTGTATATGTGTGTCTGTGTGAATAACGATCATTAGAGCCAAAGGATTCTTCAACATCAAAGTAGGCAGCCCCCAGAAAGCTGTCTTATTTCAGATGCCAATTGCGGAATCGCTCATATAGAAGTATCCGTAATCGTTTGATCGATCGTTCGCTCTAAAAGGCTCTGACAAGAAACGAAGGCTCATTTGCCAAACATTGAGAAATTTTTTCAAAGAAGCGGATCAATCAAAATAATTGCAAACTTAAAGCAAACGGAAACAAAAAGCAAATACTAAGGCAATCAACACTTAAAGTCGAAGACTATCTTTAAACAATTCAAACAAAAGCCACCAACATTCAATTAAAAATGGCCGAAGACGCTGCCATGGAGACATGTCCAAGTCCTGAGATGGGCGACTCACGCAAAAGGCCGCTCGATTCCGATCCGGAAAATGAACAAACTAAACGCTCACATTTCAGTTCCGGTAAGTTTTGCAATCATTTCAAAAAAAAAAAAAAACCAAAAAAAAAAACAGAAAAACAAAAAAAAACCAAAGTACATAATGAGGAATAAGTAAATTTCAATCGCTTTTACATATACTACTATCATTATCGTGCTCTTTGTCTCTATCTAACTATCTATCTATCTCTATCTATATACTCACTGCCCTATTTCTCATTCTTTACCAATCGCCGCAAAGCGTGTAAATATTGTAATTCATGCCAAACAACTCACTTAAGCATAGGCATTGCTGCCCAGCTTGTTGCTTTGTTAATTTCAATAAGTTTGCTCTTTCGCCATTGTCATCTTTTATTTGACCAGTCTTCTAAGCTCGTCAGGCTCACTTAGGGCAGCTCTCGATGTTCCGGACTTCGAAATAAATACAGAAGGTAATCAATCATGATGTCCATATCAGACGTACACAAATTCCCTTGACAGACACAGGACCGAGATTGACCCATATTTATGGTGACCTCTTTGGCATGGTGACATATCAGTAGGTGCATTTGGGTTGATATCAGGTTAGCCAAAGTTGGCTCAATGGGTCGGCAATGTCTGCACCATTTAAATGCTAAGTGGCTGAGATTAAAATGATGATGCTACACAGCTGCCTACTTATTATATCCAAAGCATCTCAAATCATTTGACCACGACATGGACAGACACACAGCCAGATCAGCCATTGGCTGGTTGCTTGACTTGATTACTTGTGCGACTGGCAACCTGCTAGCTTCAAGGTGAGCCGCGACGCAATCCAACTACCTGTCCTCGCATCGCATCGCATCGTATCGCATCGAATCGCGTTGCTCGTTGTTGTCTCGTCATCGCCGTCAGAGACATAAAAATAGCAAAAACCGTAAATCTCAGAGGCGGTTTTGTTTTCGTGTTTAAATGTTTTTGTTTTTTCTTATTTTCGCCCCAATCTCGCTCGCGCTCCCGCTCGGGCCCGCCGCCTGCATAACATTTGACTTTTAGTTTGAAAATACTTAGATCATTCGCAATGTGTGTGTTTGCCAAGTCAAAAACACGTTTTGTTGTTTGGATTTGGAATTTCTGAATTGTGCGCAGAAGCGTGCTAAGCAACTGACCGACTGCCACCCTGACTAACTAACTGACTGGCCTATTAATGCATGCCTGTCAGAGCTTCAAGAACTAGCTAAAATAAATATAGTTGCATAATAGTACAGCAATTGTTCAATACCTTATTGAAAGACGAACTATTACGAAGAAAGTTTTAAGTGAGAATTTAATTTGAATCATATAGTCAAATGGAAAGCAGTTGGTTTATTGAGCTTAACAAGTTAATAAGTCTATGCGTTAAGATAAATCATTGAATACACGATTAGTGCCAAATATAAGGGGCGAGCGCTAATAGCAAGACACACAGTCTGAGGAAAAATACTCTTGTGAATTACGGCAGGAATCGTTCAAACGTAATAAAAGTATTAAGCTTCGATTGTAATATTCCTGCTACGTTATACGCCAACCTTAATTGCTTGAAAGGCTTCCCGAAGATTGAGCAAAGTTTATCCATCGTTGTTCTAATAAAGAAACTATAGTTGTTTCAAGTCATCAACTTTTTGATTTACCCACGTGCACGAGGTACGTTTTGCTGTTATTGCTAATGGTATTGTTGTTAATTAACTAGCATTGAAATATTTGTAGATATGTATGTATAAAGTTTTGTTATTTTTGTTGCTCTCGTCATTGCTGGTCGTAGAACAGGTCCATGGCATGTGTCAAATGTTTTTGAATATAAATGTATAAGTGCTTGCACACACACACATACACACAAGCATACACACCAACACATGCACAAATGGGCAACTTGTTTATTAGTTTTCAAACAATTTATTTGTTTAGCTGTCTTGACAGCCATCCATTTATTAATATTTATTTCGTTCGTGTTGTTTATTGTCACTCGCTGCAGCGGCTTGAAAAGGCACAAAATTCGGTTCCGAAACCACTTTAAAGCTGTATTAAACAGAAAAAGCGAAGCATAAGGGTCGAATATGTTGCGGACTGGGTGTAATGGGCGGCAGCAAGTCTGCAAGGAAATGCAGTAAAACCCCCAAAAAAAAGTGACTAAAACGGGAACTGGATGGGGTGGGCTCACAAGTGTCGCTGTGTTACGTAATCAATGTTGATAGAGCTTGCTTGAAAATAGATGCGCAGGGCACCAGAAAGTACGAGCCAAGAGCCGAGCGCTTGTCCCAGAGCAAGAAGAGAGATTGAGAGACAGAGAGCGCGAGGGTTGAAGAGAGCGCGCGGTTGATGCTGCTGCTGCTATGACTGCGCTGTTGACCTACTTTATTGACAATGCGCGAGTGTGCGAGTGTGCGTGGATATGTGTGTCTGCGTGTGCATCTGTTTGCTTGTGTGTGGCACATAACCATTGCCTAGACAAGGTCCTGCGCAGTAGCCGTGCAGAAGAATGCGTCGTCTGCTGCACTGCAGCATTGGGCGCCATTGCAGCGGCAGCCGCAGCATTCGAGCCTCCATGGCAACGTCCTTGAGCATACACACGTATACACGCGTACAACACACTCACACACAGTGACAAGCTAGCATATACACAAAAACACTTGCACTGAAAATGGGTTACACCTTGGCCACTTGTGCAGACTCAAACTGTGATGCTGTCGCCTGTCGCGTGGCCACTTCAAGTGCGCTTATTGCCTGCGGGCTCTCTTTGTCCGCCCACTCTGTGAAGTGACGCTCTCTTTCAGTGCTCTCTCGGTGTCTCTCTGGGTATATTTTGGGTTACCTTATTCTTAACACATTCTTTTGTTGCTACTCAAGTGCTGCCCATGTGGCCGTGTCGCTGCTGCTGCTGCTGCTGCTGCACTTGTAAAGCATCTCTGTACACCCTCAAGTGGCCTACTAATAGCTCGAGTGTCATGTTGGTTAGATAGGTGCAAGTGTGCTTGTTTTTTTCTTCTGTCTAGGCAGTTTCCGCCTATTATGTTGTCCTCAAAAACACGAGCACGGTTATCGATAGATGGGCACAGGCTTGGCTTTCGTTTTCAGCTTTTGTGGTGCAACGCCAGCGGCATATGTAGTCAAATTGGGTCACTTTGCTACATCCAACATATACGTGAGAATATTGTTGTAGTGCTTTTTGCACTAGTAGAAAGAACAAATGTGACTACGTGGCGAATGAGCAATTTGCGGTGTGCCGCATTAATAAATCACACATACGCAACGTGGACAACTGCAAACTATTTATACCAACTTTTCTCCTTAAAAGCGCATAAATAAGTGTTAATCACTGCTTTGCTACTAATTATTCAAGCAGACTTTGGGGAACCACAAAAAGTTAAAGTAGAATAAGATTGACCTCAAATTGGTATGTGGATCTGATGGGGAAGTTTTTACCAAAGCAAACCAAAAAAGCAAAAAACAATTTGTTATGTCGAGACACATTTAGATCGTGAAAAAAATTTAGTTGAAGATGTGCGTTGCATTTGTTTTACGAATGAATGATCAAGCAATTAATATATATATATGTATATACATATATATATATAATTTTGTCAACATATGTGGGCGTGCTGTGATTTATTATCATTGAATATCATTCGAACTTCTAATGAAGTTTTTCTGCTTGCTCGACAAACTTGACACGTTGTCTTACCCTGTATCTTTTTGGCTTATCGGTTCGTTTCACAATACATACACCGCTGCAGCATTTTCTATTTTAGTCAGAGTCAAACCCTCCCACCATTTGCCCTGTTCACTCATCGCTTGCTGCTGATAATGGAAGCAAAAACTGAGAAAAAAACAACAATTTTTGGAGTGAGGCAACATCAAAACTCGCACATTAGATCATAGCGCGCGCTCTTGGCACACACACACACACACATACACACACACACACACATACGCACACTCACAGACACTGCTTGTGCATGTATATGTTTTATATACTGACGGTATATGATCGCAATGACTGACTCATTTGGATCACTCTCGCTCTCTGATTTTGAATGTGGCGTACTCCTCTCTCTCTCTCTCTCATTTGAACTCTGCGCTTTGGGCCCGCTTTTCGCTCTGTCTCTATCTCTAGTCTCCGTTTCCATCGTCGTTTTGCCACAGACCAACAAAATTCTTCAGTGCGGTTTCAGTGCGCGCCGTTGCCGATCGTCGTTCAGTTATTGCGCTCGCTCCTCGCTGTTTCGCCTTTCATACGCACAGCAATTTTGTTAGTACAATTAAATTGGCTGTCAAATAACCAGCATGCTGTTTGGCAGAACGCAACAACAGCCGCCGCTTCAACATCATCATCAGCAGCAGCCGCAGCAGCAATTGACGCCGCCGCTACAATTGTGTATGTGTTTTCAAGTGCAGTTTTAAGTTATACACATATACAACACACACACACACACGAACACACACAAATACCCACACCCAGCTGAGTTTGTATAGCACATAGATGCATATATAAGAGCTCGGTATCGCTTGCAGTAAAAAATTACTCAATGACCTTGTTAATTAGCATCGTTGCTGCAATTTGTCGAATTGCAATAACAACACCCCGGCCAGTAAGCGAATATATTTGTTTATCTAATTTTGTGTTTGACTTTGGCTTTGCCTAGTTGGTTGTATTTGTGATTTTCATTAAGAACTTAATCACATGAGCAGAGACGACAGTAAATGCTTAGCCATATATATCTGGGTCCACGCTGCGTATGCGCAAGGTGACAATCGTAGTGTCTGAGTCTCGTTTTCATTTGAAAGTTGTCATTAGTTTTCAGCCCTAGCATGGCGAGTACTTCTATCAGCCAGACACTCATTCACTCAATCCCTCCCTGACTCTTGTTTATTCAATTCAATACGTGATCGTAGCTCAAAGCAACCATTCGAATACATCGACAAGTCAAACGAGTATGTGGAATAAATTCGAAAGCAAGCATTTGCTTACAAAATTCCTCGATTCGAAGTTGAGGCAAATTTAGCTCAATGTCAGCTGCATTATAATAT